TCCCATTCAGTGTATTTTTCATCCTATACGTTATAGTTTCATCTTTAGAAGATTGGTTTGGGTCTTTTAAAAATATATTCCATGTCTCTATCAAACTTTTTTTTTTTTTTTTTTTTGTCTTTTGTCTTTTTCCGTGTCCGGCAACGGATCGCAACCCTCAGTGTTGCCCCCGTACCGGACCGGGGACCGGCAACGGGATCGCAACCCTCGGTGTTGCTCCTGCGCCTCGCTCAGCCAGTGAGCGGGAACCGGTCTGTATGTGGGATCCAAACCCTCGGGCGGGAGCGCTGCCGCGCTTCCCCAGCAGCGCACTATCCAGTGCACCACTGGGCCGGCCCTCTATCAAACTTTTTTTTTTTTTTTGTCTTTTGTCTTTTTCCGTGTCCGGCAACGGATCCCAACCCTCAGTGTTGCCCCCGTACCGGACCGGGGACCGGCAACGGGATCGCAACCCTCGGTGTTGCTCCTGCGCCTCGCTCAGCCAGTGAGCGGGAACCGGTCTGTATGTGGGATCCAAACCCTCGGGCGGGAGCGCTGCCGCGCTTCCCCAGCAGCGCACTATCCAGTGCACCACTGGGCCGGCCCTCTATCAAACTTTTTGAACATCTGAAATACAGTTATAATAACTGTTTTACCATATTTGTTGCTAATTCTAACATCTGTGCCAGTCTTGGGTCAGGTTCAATAAATTGATTTTTCTCCTCCTTATGGATTATGTTTTCCCACTTCTCTGTATGTCTGATAATCTTTGATTGGATGCCAGACATTGTGAATTTTACCTGGTTGGTGGTAGATATTTTTATATTCCTATAAATATTCTAGAACTTTGTTCTGTTATGCAGTTCCAAGTTACTTGGAAGCAGTTTGATCCTTGTGCATCTGCTTTCAAGATTTATCAGGCCAGACTGCAGCATTGCTCAACCTCGGGTTAATTATTCCCCTTTTTTGAGGCAAGACCCTTCTTTGTCCTCTAACCAACGTCTGTGAATGATCAGCCTGACCATCGGGAATAGCGGGTTAACACTCAGCTGGAACTCGCGGAGACCCTCTGTAGGTCTCCAGAGCTTTCTGTCTGCACAGCTGTCTCCTCTCTGGTCCGTACTCTTGGGAACTCTAGTGGCCTTGGTCTTCCTGGACTCGCAGTGACTTCTCCTCAACTCAGGGAGTCCGCCTGGATTTCCCTAGAAACTCTTTGGAGGCAGTGATCTAGGCCACTGTGGGACTCACCTCATTTACTTCTGCGCTGCACGGACCACTGTCCTTTGCTGCCTGATATTTAATGTCTTGAAAACTGTTGTTTCATATATTTTATCCATTTTGGCTTATTTCAAGCAGGAGGATATGTCTAGTTCCTGTTACTCCATCTTGGCCAAAAGTGCCATGTGTCTTAAGCAGCCCCTTGGATATGGCCGGATGAACATTCTGTCACTCCTGGGAATCCCAGTAAGACTTGTGGAGAACTGGGAGAAGGCAGGTCTACCGGCCACAGAACAGCTGAGGCTCATTCTTGGGTGTGCTTTAACAAGTTCCCACCTCGAAATGTCCGTTGTGTTCAGCTTCATGGAATTCCACCCAGATGCAGACATGTGGGGATGAGAACCTCTGCCTGGCTCCTGCCCACTTCACCCTGCAGCCTGCCCCTGGTAGCAGGGTAGCAGCATCTAGGGGCCTGCCTGGCTGTTTCCTCTCAGTCTCCAGAGGGCCCTGCCCACCCACACAGGTGCAGGTCTGAGGCTAGAGGTAGCTCTGCTCCTGGTAACGGAGGGAGTTACTATTAAGTTGGAGCGACGCTTGCTCGGGCCCAAGTGCCTCCATGAGCAACAAATTACAAGGTCTGGGGTGGTCCAGAACCCAGTAAGATCCACCGAGCCCCCTGTGCTGACTTTCAGAAGTGTCTGTCTTGCAGCAGTCTCAAGCAGCCCACCACACCTGGGCCACCAGCCCACCCCTCACTCCCCTCTGGGGCTCAAGTTGGGGAAATCAGGTAAAAGGCAAATGTTGCTTTGGAACAGAGCACAGTCAGGCGGGCCCTCCTCGTCTCAGTTATTGCCCTGGTTCTCTCCCAACTGTGAGGCAATAATTATCCTATTAGTTTAATATCAGTAGCAAACTGGACAAAGGGGTGGACAGACAACCTGGCCTCAGGCAGGAGCCATGCTCACTAGTATCAGAGTTGATGTGAATGAAACACGTTTTATTTCCAAGTAGACAGTAATAAGTGTCCAATCTGTCAAACCAGTGAGAGCTGACACGCATGCAAGACACACGTGTGAGAGGCCCATTTTTTCCTTTCATGTGAGGTCTGTTTCATTTTCAGCAATGTGCTATTTTTTTGCTTTACAGGTGATTTTTTATGTTACTCCTGTGCTGGAGAAGCAAACTGGCCTTCTGACCTGGCCCTTGGCCCAGCTAGTCCGGGTACAGACAGCAAGAAGAGCCCAGGGAAGGAAGCAGACTCCACTTGCCCTCCTCGGACTCACAGGAGCACAGAGTAACCAGACGCTGCCCCGAGGCCCTGTGGCTTCAGAAGGCGGCTCAGACAAGCACAGACATGAGGTACAGTACAAAAGAGCCCAGAGGACAGCTGTGACCACCAGTGTGATGTGCTGGGCTGGCTGGCACCAGGACAAGCCCTCTGTGAGCCTGCCCAGGAGAGAGCCCCAGGAACTGCAGAGGCTGCTGCGTCCCTGCCCCTGCACCTCCGATCCCTCTGCTTCCTTCTTTCCAGACCAGAGGTACCCAGATAAGAGATAGTCTTCTCGGGACAAGGAAGAAGGCAGGCAGGAAAAACACAGAAGCCAATTCCGGCATCACAGGAAGGCAGAACGAGCAAGCTGGGCGCCCGTTTATGAGCCTCTGCCTGGGCTGGGGAGGGTGCAGGCTGCAGCCCACATCTATGAGGAGACCTGCTGGGGATGGGGCTCAGAGGGGCTGGCGGGGCTGGACAGAGAAGCCAGGAGGTGTAGACACGACACATGGTGACCATCTAAACCAGCAAAGCAGAAAGAGGAATCCTTTCAAAACTTAGGTTCTAACATGTCACTCTTTTGCTCAAAACCCTCCAGTGGCTTTCCACCTCCCTCCAGGTAAAACCCAGTGCCCTGTGGTGGCCTACAGAGCTGTTCCCGCACCTGCCCCCGGCCCCTCACTTGCTGTGAACACGTCAGGCGTGGCCCTGCCAGGGTCTCTGCGCCTCTAGGACGCTCTTTCCTTGATGTCCACATGCAGTGCCCTCCCTCAGCCCCTTCAAATGCCACCCACCTCATCACACTGCTGAATTCCTGACCCTCACTCAGGTAGACCCTGACGGCACAGCACGTAACTGTCTTGCACACCACGTTACTGCTTGGCTCTCCTAACAGAAGGTCGGTTCCGTGAAGGCAGAGTCGTGTCTGTTCATTGTCTGTTTGAGAACTTTTCATCTCCCCTGTTTAGAGCGGTGCCTGGCATGTAGCTGATGCTTGAAAAATATTTGCAAATGGGCTGACCAACAGGAAGAGTCCTCTCCCCAGGCACGGAGCACTCAGAGACCCATCTGTGCAGGATTTAGAACTGCTTTGGGCATTGAATTCCCAGGCCTGGCCAGAGCCGTGGGCCCTATAGTCAGTGGGAACTTCAAAAATGCCCACGTCTGTAACCACCTTATTCATCTCATGTCAATCTAGTGGCCTGTTGCTCTGTAGGACACAGATGGGGCACAAACAACACACACTCCTGCTGCTCTGACTCACTGAAACAGCACAGGGTTACAGAAGAGCCACATCACACAGAAGGGATGTTGTGCCACTTGGCTCCCCGAGCTTTGCGGCTCTCCTCAGCTGCCCTTCCTTTCTTTCCCCTCTGGGTTGGGAGCTGTCCTGCTTAGCAGTCCCTGCAATGCTCCCACCAGTCCCCGAGGGGTCCCCTTGGATGTGGACCACTGTCCACAGCCCTCTATGGTGGACCTGAAGAGTGAGCAGAGCACACGCAGCAGGCAGCCACTACGAGGTGACACTGTGCACACGTACACATGCGTGCACATGTGCACATGTACGCACACACACACATGCCCATGACACAGCCATGAGGCATGGGCGGCGGGCGGTCCTCAGGACATGCATCAGCAGAGGCCGATGGCTCTGGTGCCCCTGGCCATGTGGAGACAGTGGGGATGAGCGGGGTGACAGGAGGGCAGACTGCAGTCAAGGGGAGGTCAGTGGCAGAAGAGAGAGGCGGCATGTTTCCGGAGACCCAGGATGTCGGGGAGGACAGTGACAGAGGAGGCCCTGTGCCGAGCCTGGAGCTCCCCACACTGCTCCCCGCCCAGGGCACCATGCGTGGCCACAGGTGCCCAGCAAGCCATGCGTGGCAGCGATGGCCGTGAAGACCAGGAGCATGGGGAGCTTCACATTGCCTCGCGTCTGCTCAGGGTGACGCATCAGGCACCAGAGGAAGCCGTGTCACAGCTTTAAAGTATTTTCCCCAAGGTCTGTAAGGAATCTTAAAGATCCAACCCAGCTTGCTGGTTTTAAAGAGGAGGAGACATCTGAGCCACACAGGAGTCGGCAGGGAGGAAAGGATAGAATCCAGCCTCCCGACCCAGCACCCCGGCTACAGAGAGGTGCAGGAGGCGCGGGGAGCCCGGCCGCTGCTTCACACCAGTGCCTGCTTCCCGGCTCCCCTCCTTGGCTGGCTAGGTCACACTGAGGCTCCCTGCCATGCCGAACCACAGCAAACACAGCAAGGGGAGAGAGGGGATGAGGACCGAGGGAGAGAGGAAAGGGGAGACTGGGTTCGCGGAGGAGCACCGGCGAGTCCTCGGGCCATACTCTCACGCCTTCCTTCCCAACCACCCAAGCACTGAGTATGGTCCAGATGGGGACGCTGGGCCCCTGGTAGGGCCCGTGACCTGCAGAGCACCACACATAGCCACTGCACCTGCTGGCCAGGGCACAGCTGCAGAGTCATTGTGACAGACCCAAAGGGAGGAGAGACGGGCCGCCTCTCCTGAAGACACTCACCATTCACCTGGGAGGGCGACAGCGAGTAGTCCCGGTCTGCGTGCCGCCGCTCCGGCTTCAGGTTGCGGCTCTGCCTGCCCGAGCCCTCCACCATGCTCACGATCTCAGCGCGGTCGATGCTCCGCAGGGCCGCGTACAGGCTCTCCACTGCCGGGAGAGGGAGGAGAGGCGGTGGGGAGCGAGTTCCGACTGTCCCAGGGCAGCGGCTCTGAGAACTGGGCAGGGGCCCAGGAGAAGGGGAGGTGGAGGGAGGTGTCCTGCTTTGTCAGAACCCAAACAAACTGCCTCTTCGCAGGGTTTTTTTACACGGCAACATATCTTTTCCAAATGCTAACAGTGGCCAATTTCCAAGCACAGAAAGACTGTTTGTTGTTTTGGGGGTGGTTTTAGTAACCTAAGAGGAATCCTACAAGACAATGAGGGTGAGAATGACTGGACTCAGTGCTTTTGAATTTCTGGCCTTGCCAGTTGATCTGACATACAAGTGTAGACAATTCCTCCCAGTGTTTTGAGCACGGGAATTTGGCTGAGGAGGAGCAGGAAAGGGAATGTAGACAAATCCCCCCTGGAGTGGAAAAAGATGCTCCTGGAGCTGTTCCAGCTGGGGCTCGGCTCTCCACGCTGCCCTGGGAGGGGACACTTGTGCACTTGAAGATGAGAGGCACAGGGAGCAGGAAAGGGAATGTAGACAAATCCCCCCTGGAGTGGAAAAAGATGCTCCTGGAGCTGCTCCAGCTGGGGCTCGGCTCTCCACGCTGCCCTGGGAGGGGACACTTGTGCACTTGAAGATGAGAGGCACAGGCCCCACGTATGTGCTGACACCTAGGGATCCTGGAGTGATTTCGTCTCATTCCAAGGGAGGGAGTGAGACTGCGGTCAAGATTCTCTGGTAACCAGTGTCCTCTGGCAGGACTGCCTAGAAGACCTGTGGACCATGAGAACGATGGCGCGTGTGGGTATGTGAAAGAGAGAAAGACAGACCAACTGAGACAGAGAGACAGAGGGACAGAGGCTGGCTCCAGAGGCGCCATCACGAGTGGGGCTTGAGGAAGTGGCTCTGGCGAGGGTGGCCAGTGGAAAGGGAGGGCTTGCTGTGCCCAGCCGGACTCACTCTTTGCGGATTCTCCCTCCCGGATGACCCAGAGGTTCAACAAGGCTGTGCTCTGCTCTAGCAAGGAGTTGGGGTTTTCTACGCGGATCCTGTTGATGTCTTCCACGCTGAACTGTAGCTCCCGCGCCAACTCTGTGAGCAAAGAACCACGAGCAGGTGAGCCGAGCTCCACCCCTGGCCTGGGCACTCTGCAGTGAGGGTGCCTCATGGGCAGCACGGGGAGCTGGGTGCAGGCTCTCTCTGCATGTGGTGTTTCTTCTGACCGAGAAATGCCTACTGAAATGCCGGCACCCACGTCTTTGTATCCCCAGGACATGGGGCAAGGCAGCTCGATCCATAGCTGGTGAGTAAATGAATGAGTGGACGAGTGCCCTTTCTTTCTCTCATGGCTTCACACATGTGCTGAGGAGCAAAACCTGTCAGCAAGGTCAGCAGCTGCTGCAAGGTCACGGGGCAAGTCAGCCCCAGCCAGGAAGGGGCTGAGTCTGCTGATGCACACGCCAGGTAAAGGCAAGGTGCACATTTAAAATGAAAATACAAGTCCCACCCAGATGCAAGGCAGTGACACAGAGCGGTCGCCGCCCTGTTATTTTTACTATTGTTTCTCACAGGTGCTTTAGAAGGAGAACAGCATCAGAGTCTCCTTCCAAGGGTGAGGAAGACTGGAGAGAAGTGATAGTGAGGATCAGAACACACACATGCACACGCACACCCCAAGCAGCAGCAGCAGCACGTAGAGAATCAGCAGTCCCGGCACTTTTGAGTTTGTGTCGGGACGCCGCCTTTCAGCTAATTATTGCTAAGGTGTCTGAGCTTGTCTGAAGAGCCCTGCAGGGTGAGGGAGTGAGGAAGTCCGTTCATATAAAAGTTAACAAAACCAAAATAAACAAATCAATAAAAAGGAAAGGAGGGAGAACTGAGTTCCAGGGTCTGTGGCCAAGCAACACGCGTCGTGAGCCTTCACTGTGTCAGCCTCAGTCCCATCGTCCTCCCCATTGTCGCGGGGCATCTGGTAGCTTTCAGCGCAGCCAGAGCTGGGATAGCTTGAGAGCTGCCCTCTTCTCCCTCCTTCTCCGCAGCAAAGCCAGCCTCTGAGAAAAGGCAGTGTAGAGTGCAAGGCGTGGTGGACAGGCAGCCAGGAGGCACGGATTTTGTGTGTCTGTTTTGTTTGCTTTTCTGGGTTTGGTCACTAAGTAGCTACCTAACCAAGTCACTCTGGCAGGATCTCAATTTTCTCATCTGTAAAATAAGGTGAACTAGATATATTCTAAGGTCTCTTATGACCTTAGAATCATGTCAAACTTGCTTCTTTCTTACAGAGGAAAGCCAGACAGAAATGGAGAAGGGGGCTCCCCTGCCCACTGGCACCCAGTCGTGTTGCTTGGACAACAAACCTCCTCGAGACACTCACAGACCAGACACTCAGTGGACAATGAAGGGAGGCTGGAGGAGCTGTCACGTGCTGCTCACTCGGGGGAAGAGGTGCGGGGTAGGTGTGGCCAAGCGCTTTCTGCCCAAGTGCCCCGACTCACCTGCCCAGCTGAGGCCGAGGTGCTCTGATATAATAGCCAGCTTCATATCTGCTCGGTCTGTCCCACTGAGGAAGCCTGGAAAGAAACGACCAGAGTGGACTGGACAGGCATAAGCAGACGGCCCTGATGGGGGCTCGGATCACATGGCAGACCCCCGTGTGCACCAGAGGCTGAGAGGGTCAGGTGGGGACCCCAGGCCAAGGCTCTATATGCATGTTCAGAGCACACAGGCTGAGTAATCACATCAGCGGCAGAGCCTTGGCCTCAGTGAAGGGAAACGAGCTCGCTCTCAGCTTCTCGGGGACAGGCAAGCACAAAGTATCACAAAGAGAGCTCTACCCAGTGTGGACTCGCTGAGGATGTTGTACCGCAGGGCCAGCGGTGTCAAGGTCCTCCTCCGGTCCTCAGCTCCGCTCCCCTGCAGAAGACAGACAAGAGAGGACGCTGGGACATTCCTGAGCCCTCACGCTGTGGGGTGGGAGTGACGAGCCGGGGCCGGGTAAACAGCAAGAAGCTGCACGGCTTTGGAGGCTCCACACGAAGGGCAGAAGCGTGGGAAGAGGTGGCGTGTGAGGGAGTCAGAGGGCTTGCCACTGTTGATAATGACAACGACATGACAAACTCGTGTGGCCCCATCATGTGTGACGGCTGCTGAGTGCTCACGATGACCTGTGAAGCAGGTCCTGTCATTATTCCCGCTGCATCTATGAGGAAACTGAGGCAGGGAGGTTAAGTAACTTGCCCGAGGCCACTCAGCTCATAAGTGGTAGAGCTGGGGTTTGAACTTAAAACTACGTTTATCTGTTTGGATTCCTTTCTGCTCAAAAGAACTGTTTCTGATACTGGCCCGAGGCTTCACACCAGGGTCCTGTGGAAAGGCACCTCGATGGCTCCTGAGGCTGCAGGGAATCCTCTTTGAAAGAGAAGTTATTCACCCTTGTGCCCAGAAAGAAAAGAGAAGCCGAGCCTTGGACACATGAACGTCGACTTGCTTCTTTTCTAGGTTAGCATAGAAGGCTAACGGTTAAAACACCAACGATGGGCCGGCCCAGTGGCGCACTTGGTAGAGTGCGGCGCTTGGGAGTGCGGCGGCGCTCCCGCCGAGGGTTCGGATCCCATATAGAGACCAGTCCGCTCACTGGTTGAGCGTGGTGCGGGTGCGACACCGAGGGTTGCGATCCCGTTGCCGGTCGCGGTACGGGCGCAACACTGAGGGTTGCGATCCTGTTACCGGTCACGAAAAAAGACAAAAAGGAAAACAAAACAAAACAAACAAAAAAAACCACCACCAACGAAACACGTGGTGATGTTCTGGAGACGTATGGTCACTCCAAAGTCCCTAGTGCAGGTGGTGACTGTGATACTCTTACAGGCATCCACGACCGAACATACTTGGTTAAGACTGCTGGGTGTCTACAGAGGCTCAGGACGTCAGGACACCCTTCTCTGAGGGCCTGGCACCTGGGGCAGTTCATGAGAAAGAGGCCCGACGGGAGCTCTCCGCAGCCAGGCAGCCTCGAGCAACCCGACACACGGTTCTCAGCCCCAGAGGCCTCAGCCGAGGGGAGCCTGACGATGCCTTGAAGGCTCCTCCTTAGAGAGCTCACGGCCCACTGCATGGATACACCATGGCCACCGGACACGGACGCTGCTTCTTGTGTCCATGACCAAAGCTGGACTGAGCCCGGCTGGAAGGGCCAGGGCATGCTTTCCCTGCCAGAGGAAAATGAGGCCCCTTCCTGTCCCTCGGGGACTCCAATGGCAGCACTGCAGCAGGAGGCAGCCTTTTGGAAGGGCTGGACCTGCGATCTGTTTGGAGACCTCCTCAGGGGAACCCTCTCTGGCCCAGGGTGGCATCGGGTGGCAGCTGACCTTGGTGCAGGGGGGCATGGTGATGTTCAGGTGGCAGAGGATGTGCTGGGCGTCCTCATACTTCATCGCCTTGCGCAGAAACAACAGGGACCCTCCCGGCTCTCGACTGCTGTCCCGCACCTAAGTTCAACCACACAAAAGAAGATTCAGGGCCTCCTCTAGGCCACCAGACTGGCCGGCTTAGACGCTGCCTCCCAAATGTTCCAGTCCCAGAGGAGAGGCCAGCCAGACAGAGGGTGCCAGCACCTTCACAGGGATGGCCAAGCGGCTCTCCCGAAATGACTGGAAGTGGAAGCTCCGCTGCTGGGCAGCTTTTCTGACAGGTACCAAGTTCCCAGAGAGTTCAGCAAATAGGGGCATTCCTTCCAAAACCTGCAGGGAAGGAAAAGCAGCGCAGCCCGTCAGGCGGATGCCCAGACCTCCCGCCTTCAAGCTCTGCTCCGCCCTCCAGGACAGCCTCGCTGCAGCCTGAGGCACTCCCACTGCTTCTTTTGGGAAAGGCTTTATTCCCGAGGGTATCATGAAGGAAGCATGCTTCCTTACTTGAAAGGATTTTAAAATAAGCATCTTCAGGGCCGGCCCGTGGCTCACTCGGTAGAGTGCGGTGCTGATAACACCAAGTCCCCGGGTTTGGATCCCATATAGGGATGGCCGGTTGGCTCACTGTCTGAGCGTGGTGCTGACAACACCAAGTCAAGGGTTAAGATCCCCTTACCGGTCATCTTAAAAAAAAAAAAGAAAAGCATCTTCACACATCCCTGTGAGGCTGACCAGGATTGCTAACCGAGCACACTACAACTCCACTAGGATATCAGAAAATGGCTTCGGGTCTGTTGTTTCGTCTGTCCCAAGTGTTTAGCTCATGAAAAGTGCTAGAAAGACTGTGCTGTCTCACCTACAATGAAGATGCTACTGTGTACGGAACACTTTCAACTGAGATGTCATCCCTACCCCATTGGCAGTTGAGGAAACTGAGGCCCAGGGAGGACAACTGCCGTGCTGGCAGGGGAACGGGACTTGAGTCAGCACCCTGTGCTTCTCTGCCAAGCCCTCGGCCTTCCCCAGGAAGCCTCAGCACAGATTCCGAGGCCAGAGCCGTGGGAGGTTCCTGGCTCGTTACACATCTTCACGGGAGTGGGTGTCCTGGCGTCAGCAACAGGTTCAGGTCTAGTCCCAGTCCTCGCTGCCGCGTCACCGGTCCAGCCCTCTCCCTGCTTCCCAGTCCGGACGCTACCAGAACCCTCGCACAGCAGGGAAGCGCCTGGGGTCGGACAGCTTGGACAAATCCCGTCTCTACCCTTTGCTTACTTGGTGACCTGGGGCAAGTTACTTAACGTCTCTCAGCCTGTTTCCTAACATGTAAACTGGAGATAATAAAGGCACACGTAGTTATGAGTGTTACATGAGATTATGCAAGTAAAACACCTTAAATGGTACCCAGTACACAGAACTCAATAAACGTCAACCCCTATCTCACAAATCACTGGGCTGACAACCTGCTGCTTCCTCTGAGACACACGTGCTCAAGAGGGGACCCCCCAGAGGCAGGGCTTCCCAACTGTGCTGGGCCAATGACAGGCAAGGGGCACCCGTGACACCAGCAGCAGGAGTGTACCTCGATGTCCCTGCTCCGGGCCACCTCAACAAAGTGCTCGTGCTGCTCGAGGGTCTTGTCCGCCTTGTCATCGGTCATGCAGTAGCAGCGCAGCCGCCCTTCTCGGGGATCGTTCATCTTGGCAAAGACGACGAACTTGGCCATGTAGGGCACTGCGGCCAGCTCTTTGTATAGCAGAGTGGCAAAGTTCACTGCCTCCGCTGTCCGAGGACAGTCTGACAGCCAAAACCTAAAAGAGAGAGGGCAAGTTAGGAGCGTGTTCCTAAGTGCCCGCCAGGGAGCTCCCAGTGACTGTGCCGCGGCCACTCCACTGCTCCTGGTGGTCGGGGTCTCTAGGTCGAGGGGCAGCGAAGGGACCTTACGCTCAAGCCTGGACAGCAGGTCAGGGCATGAGGGGCCCACAGTGCTGGGTGGCGTGGGGCCTCGCCTCACCTGGCAGAGACGTTGGTGGTGAAGTTGGCGCACTCGCTGGCGTACACGAGCTTGGTTGTGCCTGTTATGTCTTCCCACTGGGCTCGGTCTGTCCCTCCTGCAACACCAGCAGAAACAGGCAGGCATGGTCTTCAGGGGGCATGCACAGGGCAGAGCCAAGCGTGGAGCCTAGCGTGCGAGGGCAGGGCGGTGTGTCCCCCACACTCTGCTCCTCCTCCTGGTGACCCACAGCACCTTTCTCCAAGGGCTTGGAGGGCTTTATTCAGCTGCGTCATGCTCCGTCTCTTGCAAGAGCACATCACCCCCCAGGGGTACACAAAGCTCGAGGTGACTGCTGGCTTCACCTTCCCCGTTCCCCCCTCGGGTGTCCCAGAGGAGCTGCTGCTGCCGAGAAAAGAGGATACAGGCAAGGGGAACCTCTCACCAATGACACTGCAGAGCAGGCGCAGGCTGGTAGTGTCTCCCTCACCACTGTCCCTCGGGTTGTCTGTCCACGAAGGGGGTAGTGGGATCCGAAGCCCAATGGGGCGGTGGAACTTCCGGCGCCTTGGCTCCACGGTGACGATGGGGCTGAATGTGGCCTGGTTGCCCAGGAGTTTGGTGACCAGCTCATCTGGGACCGGCTGTGCCTGTGAAGTGCCAAAGGCAGGATGCTCAGCCCTGAGCAGGAGGGGGCATGTCAGGAGGCAGCAGTGCGCTGGGAGCGAGACCTCCAGGGCAGAGGGCAGACGCTCAGGGGTTCCTACTACGGCTGAGCCACTGTGTTCACCGTGCTGACCCCAGGGCCTGCCCAGGTCACTGCCTTGTTCTCCTTTCTGAGCCCTTTCTCTCCTTTCTCCTTCTACATCTTATTCCCAGGGGCATGTGTGGAATTCCCCCAGGCCGAGCATGGCTGGGTACCTGGGGCGTCCTGCAGCGTCTCAGGGAGCAGCTGCTTCATCCCCCCACCCAACTTTCTTTTGACTTCAAGGTCCAGTCTCTACGGTGGAATTTTAAGTCACTGGACAAAAGTGTGGGGCCGTTCCGGGGAGAGGGTAGTCTTCTCAAGGGCCATGAATTCCTTCCACCCTCCAGACCCTGGTGAGGAGGAGCCATGTCACCTGCAGAGCCAGCTTCACTCTCTTGGTGACAGCATTTTCTGGGAACGTTGCCTGCACCAGCGGCACCAGTTTGCTCTTCAGAGAGCCCCCTTCGGGGCCGATGGTGTCATAGTCCTGGCAGAGCCGTGACATGATCACGAAGTACAGGGGAAAGTCGGTGGTGACAATGCGGCAGACCCTCTTCTTCTCCAGCTCCTCCAGGCTCTCCAGCTCTGCAATCACCACAGGCCACCCACCTGGTCACACTGGGCACACATGAGCCCACTGCTGGGCCCCAGAACCTCCTCACCCCTGGGACCCAGTGCCCAGGCCCTCTGCTGGCCCCCGGGCCCACAGGCCCTGCAGAGGAGGTGCCGGTGTCAGGTGGGGGCTTGGCACCTACTTGCACATCCTAGGGTCCTGGAGCCTGACCACCTAGGGCCATCCCTCGCCTGTCAGGACATTCCAAACTGCAGGCAGCCTCAACAGCGCACCCCCCACGCACCCTCACGCCCCATCCCCAGAAGGAGGGTTCCATACCTTCATCCATCCCACTGAGGGTCTCATCCAGGTAGCTCTCTCCATAGTGGCTCTTGTGTTCCTTCCACACAGAGCCATTCTCGCTCCTCAGAACCACAAGCTCACGGTCCCCACGGCCGTGGGAGGCAAAGTGGGGGATCTCCACAAGCACGGGGCTGAAGCAGGGACAGAACAGACAGTGGGGAAAGTGGCGGGGCACAGGAGGGCAGGTCTCTACAGTGGAGCAGACCTGCCTCAGGCCAAGGCCCTCCACAGCCACACAGCCAAGGCTCACCAGAATGACCCTGCCCTCAGACCCCATTCTGGGAACGCGTCTGACATCCCTAGACAGCTGACCTAACCTCTCTGAGCCTCAGCTACCTCATCTGTCAAATGGCCACAGTGGCCTTTCCTTTGGAGGGAGGATCTGGGACTCTGTTTAAAGAGAAAGTCAAGGAGAAAGCACTTTGCAGGCCACTGTGCAAATGGGAGGGCGGATGGAGGTGGGAAGGCAGGGCCTGTCCCAACAGGACGCCCACAGTGCCTGAAGGACGGCAAAGCTCCAAGTGGAACCTGTCTGTGCAGAGAAGGAGAGGAGCAGGCCTGGAAGCCTGCCGCCCTCGGGGCAAGACTGGAGGGGCTGCCCTCTGGCACATCATCGGGCCCCAAAGTAGCACCTTGCTCTATAGTGTCACAGTGTTGGGGAGTGTGAGGCTCCCCCGGGCAAGGGACTCCTTGGTGCATCCAGAGGCAGGGAAGAGGTGTTGGGCTCCTGGGCGCCCATCAGGAGGGCCCTGCCCTGTGGGCATGGGTGCGGCGGCCTCTCACCTCAGGAACTGGGCGCCCGTGGGCCCCAGCACAATGATCCTGCTGGCCAGGCCCTCCTCCTCAGCCAGTGGTGGCGGCGAGCTCAGCTTCTGGGGCTTGACCAGGCGGCAGGTGATGCGGGTGGGTGCCGCGCACGTCCTCGGCGGGATCACCACACGCAGGCCGTTGTGGCGGCTCCCCCGGACGGAGCCTCCCCGGGCATCCACCATGAAACTCACCAGAAACCTACGAGCACAGCAGGTCAGGCTGGGCTCCTCTGCCCTTGTGAGCTGAGCAGGCGGGGCCCTGAACGCGTGTCACTCACCCAGTGTGCACCGGACTGGCCACTGGGCTGATGTTGTCGGACGCCTCTGTGGCTGGGCTGCTGGGGACCAGCGAGTCTTCGTCATACTCTTTGGAGGCCTGAGGAGGAGAGTGGAGGGCTTCCTGTCCCCCACCGCCTGGGCCAGCCCCGGGCTTGCCGAGTGCAAGAGTGGAGCTGAAGTGCTCCCTCCCCCCAACCCACAGACCCTTCCTGGACTGGGCATCCCTGGAATCCAGAGGAAGCACAGGCCCCTCCTCGGCCCAGGGTCTTGGGGCAGAGCTGGGGAGCAGATGACTCCAGCCCCCAGCCCAGCCCTCCAGCCACACCCACTGGCAAACTCTGCCCCTCACCCCCATCTGTGCAGCTCCAGGACAGCCACCTGCCCTGGGGACATCCCAGGAAATGAGGTGAACATGGCAGACCCTTGCCCTTGGGGGGCTTCCTGTTCCCTCCGCTATGAAGGGGAACATCCCAGAATTGTAAGCCAAATAAACCTCTGTTCTTTATAAATTACCCAGTCAAGTGTTGTCTTATAGCGTCAAGTGGCATAAGATTAAACTAAGGGAAATTCAATTGTTTTAACACCCCCCCATCCCCTTTTGGACAAATGCAGCTGACGTCCTTGGGAAGCCACAAGATAGGTGCCACATGAACAATGCTCTGCACCAGGAATGGCGCTCCAGTGCCCCTGTGTACTATATGCTGCTTCCAGCTCCCAATCTCCTCTTGAAGAAGGTGAGGCAGAAACTGTCCCTTTTGTTTTTTTTTTTTTTTTCCTTTTTGTCTTTTTTCGTGTCCGGCAACGGATCGCAACCCTCAGTGTTGCGCCCGTACCGGACCGGGACCAGCAACGGGATCGCAACCCTCGGTGTTGCGCCCGCACCTCGCTCAGCCAGTGAGCAGCCGGTCTGTATGTGGGATCCGAACCCTTGGACCACCGGGCCGGCCCCAGAAACCGTCCTTTTTGGACAGACAGGAAAGAAAAGGAGTGCAGCACCCCACGACTTGCCCGGAGCCCACCTACTCTCCAGCACCACGACCCGCTGTCCCCGCGAGTGCAGTGTGCTCAGGGCTTGTGGCTGTGAACACAGCTTTGGAGCCAGAGCTTCCGGTGTCACCACTGGACTATGGTAATGGTGCTGCACACACCCTGGAGCTTTCTGAGGCACACAGCCTTGTGATCTGGGATCACAGGAACGCCCCTAGCATGGGCACGGAGAACTCGTGCAATCGAGGCCTGAAGGTGCTTTGTAAATGCCTCAGCTGCTTGTGCCTGTTGTGGTACAGGTCATCTCAAGACAGCCACGCCCCAGGGTCCTCACTCTCTGCAAACGGGAAGGGAAGAGAAACGGTGCCTCTCACCTGCTCCTGCTCTTCAGATCTGATCGCCACTGTCTCTGGTGTGACACAAGGAATCCTCGGGATGGCTGGAGATTCCACCCTATGTGCCAAAACCATTGGGAAATCAAAGGGCTGATCCTGTGAGCAGCCCTGAAAGGCCTCTGTACCCTTGTGGTAACCTCTCCTCTTACCTCTCTACACACCCACCAGCCCCCCTCGCCTCAGGCCTTTCTCTCCCTCTCAGCCTCTCCAGACCCAAGTGTCCATCACACCTAAGCTGAGGGACGTGCCTGCCACGCAGCCCTCCACAGCACTCCCCCGACACTCCTCACCCTCCTGCAGCCGTACTCTGGCCTGAATGATGCACTATTCTGCATTGCTGTGTAACCACCCGGGGCGGGGGATCCCACCACATGAATCTGTGAGTGCCTCACAGCCAGGTTCTGAGTTCTGCATTTATCTCTAACAGAGGTTTAATATTGATTAAATATCCTCAGTTTCACTTCCTGCTCGTTCCACTGCCCTGTTTTGCATAAGCCATGGGACACCTCTGTTTGTTAAGAAAACACCTAGGGCTCAGTGTTTCTAAAACAGTGTTGATTTGAGATCTATTTGAAAATATCCCTGCGTACAAATGTATGCACAGTGGGGTGCCTCACAACAGTCACAGGGACAGATGAGAAATGGGTTCCAGACAGACATGGATCCACCGTGGGTTTGACCTACTGCACCTCAGTGACAGAGCAACACGGGCAGTGGTCGATCTTAGCTTAGCAACAGTTTCAGACGTGGGTCTTCCTGAATGGGTTTTCTGGTCAGAAGCTGAGTGTGCATATGGGAAAGAGAGAGGCCAGGGACTGCAGAGTGAAGTCCCTCCTGCGTGAAGGCACAGAGCCGGCTGATGCCGAGGTGCAGCCCAGCCGCATGTGTCTCTGGGGCACACCCGGGGCCGGGCCTTCTTGTGGCTTTTCCTCAATCTCCATCCCACCCTCAGTGCCAGGCTGCCCCTCGCCATTCACAGGTGACCCCGCCAGCAAGCCCTTCTTACACTTGGTCTAGCTTCGGCACAAACTCCAACAGCTCTTTCTCTTCATCTACATCCCTGGAATCCTGCCTCTCGGCCTTGGAGCCAGCAAGTTCTTCCCCTGAAACAACATGAGTCCCACTGAGTGACGGGATGGAGACAGATCTCTCCTCTTAAGCAGTGCGTTTCCTGGCCCTCCCCTCTGCGCTTGCTCCTGGGCAGTGCAGGAGGGTCTCTGAAGCTGAAGAGAAGCACTAGCAATGTCCTTGACCAGGCCTGTTCCTCCAGCCCTGGAATACAGGTGGGCAGCCAGCACCTAGCATCTTAGTCTGTACCAGGCTTTGTAAGAGGAAAAAGACACAGCCGGAAAGGGCTTTCTCAGCTTGACAAGTTCCATTTCAAAGCAGCCCGCTTGGGGTGTGCAGTGACACCAAAGCCAGGGCTGTCACTGCACCTCCCACACCACCACAGATGTAAACCACGCCAGAACATAGTCACTAATCCTGAGGGCTGAGGGCTGCTTTGTAACCACAGCAGCCAAAACCTCGTTACTTCCAAAGCCCACTAGGCGAGGTGCAGAGCACGGCGAGCCTGTGGCCTGCACCCAGACTGCCTCTGAGTCCTCTCTCCCCCTTGAACTGGAGTGGAGCCCGGGCCCTTGACCTTGCACTGTCATGTATGTCACACAGCAGGGAGTGTCTTGGTCTCGTGGTCTGGAGCTGACAGGATGGAATCACAACAGCTCATGCAGTTATGATCACGGACATGGTGGCGTGGGCACAGACACAGAGATGGACAGACAGGGGCTGCCCACCAGGGTGGGGATCTCAGGAGCGCACATGTCCTGTTTTAGTCAAGCGTCTGGCTCTGGACTGTGAGCCAGCAGAGGACGATGAATGCGGGAATGGATTAGTGAGAGCTTGGCTTGCTCAGGGTGAAATGTGCTCTGGTGACAAAAGACCACGAGGAACAGAAAGTGTTGCATACCCATTACAGTTATGTGAGCAGTTCCTGGAAAGCAAAGAAGAGCCACATTGAAGGAAGGACAGGATTGAAGTCAGTTAACGTGAGAGACATATTATCACAGGGGACACAGGAAAGCTTTAGCCATCTAGTTGACAGAGTTATACAGCCACTGCATTACCAGACGGGAGGCCCACCCCACTATTCTGTGTCATGAGGGCTTCCTCCACACTCAAGTGAGGAAACAAGGCTTCCGTGGAGTGGAGGAGCACTAGAAGCTATAGTGACTCCACAATGACGGATGTAATCCAAAACCTCCTAACTCACTACGTGTGGGAAGAGCAGCTTACTAAAAGGCGAACTCACGGATCTTAAATAATCCACCTGTTAGTCATTCAAGGCACAAGGAAAGCACCAGGCAGGCTTTTATTACAGGTCCTCACAGCTCTGAGAGTTGATCCGGGTAGAATCACATCCAACCTGATGCACATGCATAATACATGCAACATCTGTGTATCTGTGAAACCTAGTGGGATTTCACACTTAGATCTCTGAGATGTCAATTTTCTGTCACCTAAGATTGTGTTAAAGCAGGACTTTTGACAGTAGACCGCTTGTAAAGTGCAGATGTCTGCAGAACTCGGGTGTTGTCAGGCCCCTTGAGTGCAGCCTGGCGGGGGCAGGAGGCCACCAGGGAGTGCTCAGAACCCCTGTCCCCTCAGCCTGAGCTCACCACCCAACTTTACCTTCATCTTCAGAGACATCCAGGATCTCATCCACTGTCTCAGGGAAACTCATCCGGTGCTTGTCACTGACCAGCTAAAATGAGAAAAAGCAGAGGAGTCAACCCAAATTGGGCAGCGTACCCTTTCACCAGTCCAGCAGTTGCCCGGTCACAACTGTGGAGACAGGAGAGGAGGTGGGAAAGGAGGTTTGTCCCAAATGAAGAAAACCAGGCCTAGGAGGCACTTAGCCTGGATGCCGGTGCCTGGCATCCCCTCAAGGGGATTGACGGGGGCTCCAGCCTCCCTTGTCCTCGTCCCTCCCAAGCCTGGGCATCTGCTGCTGCCCCTCAGCTCTGGCCATGGCCCCGATTCCCCAGGCCGCTAGGGGGCAGCACAGCTCTGCCCACGGCAGGCACTCCCGCCAGCGTTTGGGCGTGGTGCTCGTGCTGGGCGTCACAGAGCCCACAGGGCGTCCTGTCAGGCTGTGTGTTTCTGGGTGGCAGCAGGGAGAAGCAGACATACCACTGCGCTGGTTTCATCCGTGACAACCTTGAGCACGTCTGTTACGGAAATGTAGCCGAGCCGCTTGGCTATTGCCAGAGGCGTGGTTCCATTCTGGGAAAAACAGTAGCAAGGTGCAATCAGACCAGGCAGTCAGTCTGCGAGGACAGTGCACAGGCCAAGCCCATGCCCTAGTGCCGAGGGGCCTACATGGACAGGCTCTGCCCTGGAGCCCACAACAAGACCCTGGACACGTGTGAGGCTGGACATCTGTCAGCCACAGTGCCTGTGGAGACAAGGGAGACGAAATCTGTAGGGTTGGACGTGGGGCTGGTAAATGAGAGCAGGGGAGCAAGCCCTGCCAAGAGTGAACCAGCCGGGAAGGAGTGGGTCAGGCTGTCCCTGCACACAGCTCTCCAAGTGTGAGTGCGCAGAGCAGCACTGCTCATGGCTCCCACAGCCAGATCTGTGGCTCAGAAACTGAGCATTAGGATAGTTAAAATAACCTGTGTACTTCCATGAACTCCAGTCAGGCCAATCAGAAATCAGAAATCACCAGAAACAGGGTAGGGGCATATTTTCTACTTTGATTTTAGGAGACAGAGCTAAGTGAAAATAAATTGATATTGAGGCTTTATTTTTTTAAGTTCTCTATGTCCAGGACGTGCCCCAGGCTCCATACAGAGCTGGCCCCATCCACAGTTACAGTTTCAGCAACCACATCTACAACTGGGTCCCTGCACTTTCACAGCTGGAAGCAGCCGTCGGGACAATCTAATGACACCTCTGCCCGCTCAGAAGAGGAAGCTCACATTGCAGTACGGTCATGCCCAACGTTGCTAAGGACAACCCTGAAGCTCCAAAAGATCAGGAAGCACACAGGACATCTAACTTTTGTTCACTTCTACCATTCTGCAAGCAGCTTCATCTATTTTAGAAAGGGGTTCAACAAGAATATTGAACAAAAAAATTAAAAAGGGGAGGGTAAATGGTGCTTAAAAGGCTAACCTTCAGGTCACCAAAACCAGAAACTGACAACAACCCTCCATCCCCTGGGATGCCCAGGGCAGCCACGACATTCTGGTACTGCAGCCTCGTCTGGAACCCAGATGAGCAAGACAGCAGGTGGGTACTCACCGAGCTGACCTCGTTTGGGGAAGCCCCGTTTTTCAGAAGCAGAGTCACGATGTCCGTATGTCCCTGTTGGGCCGCCTGGTGCAAGGGACTGTATCCCAGCTGCACAGCAAGGTGGACATTTGGGCAGGGTTAGCTAACCATTAGAGAACTGCACACACACTACAGAGCCTGTTGGTCTTCTGCGTATGATGTAAAAAAATGCATTTTCCCCATTTCCTGCTTAAAAAGGGTCAAAGCTACGGGCCGACCCCGTGGCTCACTCGGGAGAGTGCGGCGCTGGGAGCGCAGCGGCGCTCCCGCTACGGGTTCGGATCCTATATAAGGATGGCCGGTGCGCTCACTGGCTGAGCGCGGTGCGGGCGACACTACACCAAGGGTTCCGATACCCTTACCGGGCACACACACACACACACACACACAAAAAAAAAGGGTCAAAGCTTAAAACTGTGACAGAGCCCGCATGTGCCCAGAGCAGCTCTGGCTGGCCCTAATTTGCACGTAAGCAGCATCAGGATGGGAGTCCGGCTTGAGCGCCCCGTACCTTGGTCTTGGCATTGACATCTGCCTGGTGCTGCAACAGGAACTTCACCAGCTTGATGTTTCCATAATGACTGGCCACGTGGAGTGGGGTGTAGCCCATCTGAAGAGCAGGGGATGAGAATGTGTGACCAGCAGGGCTCTGGGCAGGTCAAAAGCCACCACAAAGTGCGTGTTTAAGGAAATCCTTACAGAAACAGCTGATTGAGAGAGAATGGGCAGGGAAGCCCTTGGAAGTTTGGCAGCTGCTCTGGGTGTGAGCTGTATTGTTGCTGCCAGTCAGATTACCACTGGCCTGGGAAGGGACAGGGCTCTATTTTAGACCAGTGACACTGAGATGCTGGTGAGATCCAAGGGCAGATGTCAGGCGGACACCTGGAAAAATGCTGTTGAGTCCTGCAAAGAGCGCTGGGCTGGGGGCATCAGCCTGTGGGAGGGTGAAGGCCTTGGACACGAGGGAGGCCACCCAGGATAAAGTGGAGGGACAAGCAGGTGGGGCTAAGGACAGAGGCGGGCCTTAGTGGAAGGAGGGAGGCCTGGACAGAGCCCACGTCAGAGAGCCCAAGATGGAGGGTGCAGCCACTGGGCTGCTACTGAGGAGTCGCTGACGAGGGCACAGAGCCACGCCAACCATCTGCACTAGGAAGGTGAAATCCCACCGTAAGCCCCACAAAGACTGTCCAGGCTACTTAGGTGCAGTGTAATGGAGTTTACATTTGGTCATCACTGGGAATGAGTGGGCTTTGGACACTTATTTGTAAGAGGTTTGGCTGGGAGGGCTACTTTCTGAGGAATCTGTCCACTGAACATCGTTTTGGCACCACCTGCAAAGGGCCAACAAGCAAGGCTGTCTGGGCTCTTTGATCCCAAGGGTCCCTGGGCGCTGGTGCCAGATTCCAGGCATGATCGTCACACAGACCCTGCCAGCTGGACCTTCACGGAATGGGGTGGTTTGGGATCCTCGAGGCTGTTATAACCCACAGGATAGGGTCTCTCCAGGCAGGACCCCAAAGACTGAACTAGGCCTGCGAGAGAAGCCTCAAAGATCCAGAACATTCTTGGGTTTTAAGCAAAATCTTGAAGCTGCAGGTGGTTGGGATAAAAAACAGTTTCTGGAAGTTTCTCAGGGCGACTTTGATACAGCATCATAGCCCAGTGTTCCTGTGGAACTCTGGAGGTTGGCCGGGGTGGCACCAGTCAGTCCCTCTTCCTAACACAGCTGCCTGTGATGAAAAAGAGCAAAGCGCCTCTCGTGGGGCCACTGTACCCCCCAGAAGCGCCCCTGCGCCCTGTGCCCCCTTCCTGTCTCCTGTGAATGCCTTGAGGGTGGATGCCACCATGTGCGTCATGTGTGTCATGGCGTGCACACAATCATCCTCAAATGCAGATGAGGGTCAAAGAACGTTCAACAGAATTTAACTCAATGCTAAAATAAAAGGGGCAGAATTTTTTAGTGATTCCACGGAGGCCTACATTTTGACCCTCTTATTACTGACGTAAGACAGGTCTTAGAGTCTCAATCAAACACCCTCTCACTTTCCGGCTACAGAGGCTCAAAGGTCTAGCAAACTTTTTAAAATTCCCTACTGGAAAGTGAGATAATTAAGATTGGTGTCTTCGAACTCCACAGCCAGCCCTAGGAGGTGCAGGGAAGAATGTCCCCTTGGGTCCCCAGGGCAGAAGAGATGACTTTGAAGTGCAGGGTGGGGGTAGGGTCCTGTGGGCAGGGCCAGGTGGAAGTGCGGGTCGGGGGGTGCCAAGGCCTGAAGCACGGGCTGCCTGCCTTACCCGGGTGGTGGCATCCACTGCGACACCATGTTTGATCAGCACGTCCGCCACAGGAACATGGCCTTCTTGTGCTACCAGATGGAGGGGAGTGAGTCCACTCTGGAAGGAAAAAGAGGTTCATCCCCTCCTAGTCCAGCCACCATGAAAGAGCACTGAGGTGTGGCAGCTGCACCTGGCTCTGCAACCACCAACAAGCTATGTGACCCTGGCCCTGAGCAAAGCTCTTCTTGTTCAGGGCCTTAGTATCCTTATCTAGAAAATCGGGTGGCTAAACCAGATCAGGAGTTGGCAACACTTCTGTTAAGGACCAGACTGTCTGTATTTTAGACTTGTGTCTCTGTAGCAACTACCCAACTTTGCCAGCTGTGGTAACAAAGCAGCTATGGCCAACGCATTAACAAATGGGCATGTGTTCTAATGAAATTTTATTTACACAAACAAGTCGTGGGCCAGATCTGGCCCATGGGCTGTAGTTTGCTGACCTTGGATCTAGATAAACTTTATGGTACCTTCCCAACAGGGACTGCCATACAAGCTTCAGAGATTTGGTTTCCTAATCTAGAAAACAGAAATTATCAATGACCGAGGTCAAGGGCAAAGTGAGGATCCCTGGAGAAAGCACAGGTGAAGCACTTTGGATGGCACATTGTGCCGCTTCCACATAGTTTGCTCTGCTCACGTCACAGCCAGTGCCGTACGTAAAGAGGGTGGCGCGTCCTGCTGGGTGTGAGAACTCCATTTTGGACCTCTCATTGCAGCTTTCTCACGGGGACAGCAATGTGTCAGAGATCTTTTTTGGTATGTGGGCACACCCACGAAAATGTCAGAACATTTTCTCTCCCCTGTACACTCTGCAGCCATAGCCATGGCCGCTCTCCAGGGGCTCCCTGCCCTACTGTGCCTTCAGCACATCCCCAGACTGATTGAGGCTGTGGGCAGTACCCCCAGCTGCAGCACGGGCAGCTGGCCTCACCGGCAGCACATAGGCTACCTGAGGTGAGAACAGCCACCACCAAGCAGCCACTGTGTTAGCTGCAAGGCTTTCAGACGAACACCTTGCCTGATTCTGGGATGACACCAATAATGTGCCTCGTGAGGGTGAGGTGCAGATGAGGGAGCGTTTTCAGTACAGAGAATCACCATCACCGTCAGTGTCTCCTTGCACAGCTTGCTTTCAATGGGACCAAGAGGAAGCCCAGGACACCATGAGCCACAACAGTCCCATGCAGCAGTGCCCTCGCTGGCGGCCGGGGCTCACACATGCACAAGAAGAGCAGTGAGCTAACAGCTTGCAGGAAATTGTAAGTTACCCTTACAAAGCTTGCCTTCCTGAAACTGTGTTGTTTGAATTTATCATCTAAAGAAGTGGTTCTTCAGAACTGAGGCCACCAGAGGAGGGAACGGGGGCAGGGGAGGGGGAGTTAGCAAGAAATCGGTAAAGGGCCACAAAAAACAAATACATTGTGCAATGATAAACACAGTAATTATCCTGGAAAAAAAGTGCTCTCAATGCCTTTAAAAAAATGGCTCTTCATATTGTAAGATTCCATTTATATGAAATGTAGGCAGGTTCATAAAGACAGAAAGCAGATTCATGGTTGCCAGGCCCTGGGGAGCTTGGGGAGAATGGGAAGGGACTGCTAATGGGTATGGGGTTTCCTTTTGGGGTGACGACAATGTTCTGAAGTTAGATAGTAGGGATGGTTTCATGATTATGTAAATATACTAAAAAAACCACTGAATTGTACAGTTCAAAAGGATGAATTTTATGTGAATTATATTCCAATAAAACTGTTATTTCAAAAACAGAAGTGACCCAGCATTCCTTTGAGAGGCTGAGAACTACCAGCACCTCCCAGGAGGACGTCCATGTGTCCCGTGGCCCTGCAACTCCACATGCAACTGTGGGCTCCGTGCTCACACATCTGCACCCCTGGGTTGAGAGGGCCTAGGCTAACATACAAGTCAGTATTTAAAAAAATATCTTCCCACACAGAAAATGAACATGAGGGGTTGTCAAAAAGTTCATGAAAAGATTTGTATTGTCTTTTAATTCTATTTTTCTGCAGACTTTTTGAAGTTCCCTCATATTTAATACCAAGTTACTTAACACACTCAAGTGTAGACACTGGCCTATTTTGGGGAAAACGTGCTATGGATTTTCGTACTGATCTTTTTGTGGATCCTTGAGTCAATCTGTTTAGAAAGCCAGCACGGTGTAGCAGAATCCGTAAAGGCTTTGGCATCAGCCGGGCTTGGGGTCCCTTGACCTTGGGAATATGCAACCTTTCTGACTCTCTTTACTCATTTATAAAACTGAGAGGATTCTTACACAGGCTGCTGTAAGGCTCACGCGCACACATATGCACCACCTAACACAGGACCCAGGTGCGTAGCAGGTACTTGGTGTGCAGACCTTACATCTAGTTCACTGACACTAACGCATTACGAAGGTCATAGGGCAAATCTGGAGGTGCCGGGCCCACCTTGTTCCCCAGGTTGCCATTGGCTTGCTTCGAGAGGAGCAAAGCAACCATCTCTGCGTGGCCCTCCTGGGCAGCCAGGTGAAGGGGAGTCACGCCCTGCACTGACTCTGCATTTGCGGACGCCCCATACTGCAGCAGGCTGCGGGCCACCTCCATCTGGTTCTGCTTGGCAGCAATGTGCAAAGGAGTGTAGCCATTCTGAAACGGAAGAAGACACAGGAGCCCGGTTACAGGAGCACTTAGTGGACAGCACGGGTGCAGGAAGGACATCCACCGAGCAGGAGTGATATCACCCAGGAGAGCAGCGAAAGTAAACAAACAAGCAAAATCCACCTGAACTGGAGACAGCCCTGCAGGCCCCCATAGCCAGCAATGCCTGCACCTTTTTTGACCATCTATTTTCTGTTATCATGCTCTGACTAACTGCTGGGCAGGAAATAGCCTGTCACCAAGAAAAGCTCGGATTCAATCAGGCAGCCTGCAGACCAACCAGAAGGCAAGGTAAGTAAATGGATTAAAGGTTCCCATTTCCCTTCTGAAAGAAGAACCCAAAGCCCCAGACACTTCAGAAAGGAACAGAAGCAGCTGCCCTCTTTCCGTCCTTGGGCAGCTGGGCCCCTCTGGGCCTGCCGGCATTATGCAGGGTGGTGTGAGGGGCCACTGAGCATGTGGGGCCAGTCCTCAGTCTACTCTTAACTAGTTGTGTGGCCTGGGGCTAGATATTCAACAACCCAGACTTCCTTTTGTGTGTGTGTGTGTGTGTGTATATATAATTTTTAGAGCCATTAGAAGCATATAATAACACCTACCTTGTTTGTTTCTCAAAGTTGTTGGGTGAATCAAATATGATAATATATGTGAAGGTGCATTCCAAAATTAAGATATGAAAGGAATATACCTGCGCATCAGAGTTTTGCAGTACACTGGTTCAAAAGACATTATAAGTCCATGACAGGATGAGGGAGATTGGCTCCAAAGTAAATCATTTACATATGTCACTGTGCACTGGTATGCAGTCAACTTTTTTTATTTCTTGGTAGCAAGACTTTCTCAATGAAGGACGCAGTGCATGGGTTTACATTCTGCAGCAAGCTCCTACCCCACTGCAGACAGTCTACAGATGGATCCCTTTGGTCATCATTATTAGAAAAATCTTTCACCTACATTATCTTTTTTTGAGCTTCATTTGCAACCAACCAAGCAAGGCAAGGCAGGCAAGCATTCTTATTTGTGGATTAAGAACCTAGTTCTCTGAGAGGTTGCATGCCTTATCTAATGTCACGTAGTGAGCAGAACACCAGATAACCCAAGCTGGGCCTTCTGACCGCACATCCAACTTCTTTCAGCTAGAACATACTTCTCAAAGTGTGATGTGTATGCAGGTCACTCAGGACCTTGTTAAAATGCAGATTCTGATTCAGAAGGTCTAGAGTAGACCCAAGATTCTGCATTTCTAAAAAGCTCCCAGGTGATGCTGATGCTGCAGGTCCAGAGACCACACCTTGAGTAGCAAGGCCCTGGAGCACTCAAGGCTAAGGTGCAGCCAGGCATGGGGACTTTCTGGGCAGGACCCTGACTCTCAGTACGTACGTCTGCCCAGCCCCATAGCAGACAGCTATCCAATGTGCAATCTGTCTCAAGGTGCGTGATTTCTCCAGCAGCCCAGTGAGGCCAGGCCAGTCGAGGAAGGAAGTCAATGAAGTGTCCGGTCTACTCTGCACCAGGAAAGTTGGGAAAGTCAAACTAGGAAAAGGCACCTCGGCCAGCATTCCTCAGGCTGTCTCCAAGGACTGGGTTCCCCCTGCCATCCACTGCCTCACTGTGGAAACCAACATTTCTGGTTCTGCCAGGATCACTGGTCAGGAAAAGGAAAGGCAAAGAAAGGGGCTGACCAACACAGCAAAGCCCCAGATCTACAGCACCAGGGATGGGGGAAGGGTAGCAAGGTCACCTGTAAGGTGGCTTTTATGGGGAAATGAAAAGTCGTAATTTACCTGAAGAATTAAATTGAATTTAAAAATCATTCTCTTTGAAGAATTATGTAAGACAATTCTTTCTAATATTGTCCCTTTTTAATTTGATTATGTTATGAGAAAACATTAAATTGTTCTATGTACCTTGTGTTCAAGATCGGCATTTTGATTTTAATAAAATTAATTAAGTAAAGTGATTTTCATGCTGTATCAACAGAGAGCAGGAAAAAGAGCTGCCATTCAGTGGCTGAAGCCTGAGCATGGGAGTTGTCTCCGAGTGGAGATGGCCATCTCCAAGATGAGTATCACAGAGCACCTGCTCCCCAGCGCTGCCACCAGTGCTAAATGAAGGCCATGCGGAGCACTCAGCCAGGGCCCGCCGGACAGGCCTTCCCTCCGTGAAAGCAGCGTTATCAGCGCTCCTGTTAATGTGCAAAGGACTGTCATTCAAGCAATCTGAAGTATATTCATGGCCATACAGTTGGGGGTCCCAGGCCACTTGGGCAGCTGTGGGCATCCACACTGGTGAAAAGAGGACCCCAATCTGCCCAAGGGAAAGCTTGCCCTGGAGCAGACTCAGGCTGCTGGAACCGCCCCTCAGGGCTTCCTCCAATCCAGGACTAATGGAACGAATGACTTTCTGTAGGTGACAAGGACAAGGGGCAGGCTGGTGGAGAGTCAGGGAGAGGTTAGGGAGGGACTGTGCCAGGAAGAGGTTCCTCTTTCCCAAGAAAATGAGCTCATCCAAAGGAATGCGCGTGCCAGAAGGCTCTGCTAAACGTTAAAACAACATTAGCATCAAAATTAGGTTGGGTTTGGGTGCAGAGAGATTTGCATGTGAAATTCTACAAAATTGCCAGACTACTTTGGAAACTATTTTTTGCCATGGAAACAAAGCCCATCTGTACAGCGTCTGTGCTTGGATTTATCTCTCTTTAAATATCATGAGCCTGGCTCCAGTTCCGTTTATGTAAGTAGAGGAGTGAGGGGGCGGAGGGAGCCCAGCTTTTTATTTTTAGAGGCAGGAGTAAGTCGACATCACAGCAGGGCTGTGTGCTCCTATCACAGTGGCGTGGGGTTTGCTACATCAGCAGCAAGCACAGAAGCCAGGGAGACGGGTGTCTGGGAAGGCTGTGTCTGTGAGGAGGTGACGCTCCAGCGTGAGCTGAGCATCCGCCAAGGAGGGAAGGCAAACTGAAGCCCCTCCCTGACTCCCCGCCTGGGCTGTAGCCATCCTGGAGTCAGCAGGTGTCTGCTGGGATCGTGTGGGGACCCACCCCACAGCTGCCTGCTCTGCAGCCCCTCTGCGTCTCGGCTGTCCCTTCACACCACATCCCAGCCCTGCTCCCCTCCTCTGCCCTTATCCTCACAGAACCCCACACAACCCTCGCCTTCCCACAGGGGCAGGATGCTCCAAAAACAGTCCTTTGGCAGTCGGCTTTAGCCCCCGTGCTATCCACCCCCCAGTCTGGTCTTCCGTGGCAAGCACTGTCTGCTGCCTTCAGGGTCAAGGAACCTACTGCTCTGAGCAGCTCGTTCAAAGGCCACCGTGAGGCTGGCATGCATGTCTGATGTGTGGCTCCCTAAGGAAAAAGCCACCATCTAAAAGAACTCACGAGAGGAACAATTGTGTGTGTGTGTGGGGGGGTGTTCACATTCATAAGAGGGTCCAGCAGGCTCACCCAGCCCCAAGTATTTCTCAGATGTGGTCACTGTGCCCTGCCTGGACAGCAGGTTAAAAATGAGGTTTCCTGGCCCTACTGTGGTCCCACCAAGGCTGGATCTCTGGGATGAGGCTCACCGCTCCCCGGAGATCCTTATCCACTTACAGGATGGCCTCTGCAGCTGGGGTAGCGAGCTCAGCTGCCCCACGGCTGTTGGGGGAACACATGGCTGCGTAAAATGAATTCCACCCCTGCCAGGTGACCTGCTGCCAAGAAGTGTCACCACTTCCTAGCCCACTCCTGGTCCCCAAATAGCAGCAGTTACACTGTAGGTAACATTTGTGAAAGAGAGGTGAGATTTCTGAGGTAAAAATGAAAACGAAACACAAAACCCTCGGGATCCTTCTGAAACAACCCTCCTGAAGCGCTGGCCAGCGGGCTGCCCCCGGGGCTGCCAGGCCTTACCCAGGCGGGGCTGTGGGGCGAGCTGCCCCGTGGGAGCAGCAGCTTGACGATGTCCAGGTTGTTGTGATGAACGGCCACGTGCAGCGGGGTCAGCCCATTCTACAGCGGGAAACAGGCAAAGAGAACAGCCTCACTCCAGGGGTTCTGCCACCAGGGACCCCCGTGAGCACAAGACCCATGACGCTTATCTATATAGACACAATCTGGTTAAAAATCCTCCAACGCCAGCCCTGACTCAGTCACTAAAGGACGTAAGCGGCAGGACCCAGGGCCAGCTCCTGCCTCCTGTGGGGACGACTGGGGCATGGGCACGTGCTCAGAGAAGGTCACCAGCAACCCGAAGTATATTCATGGCCACTCTAAAAGGCTTTGACAGGAAGCTCTGTCTTTCTATCATTCTCCCTAGATGGCCACCCACTCAAAAGATGGCCAGAACAGGCAAGAGCGGGGCTCGCAGCAGGGAGCGAGGGAGGGAGGTCCCAGCTCACCTTTCCGGCCGCATTTGGATGTGCGTCCTGTTCCAGCAGCAGCTCTGCCACCCGGACCTTCCCGTACTTGGCCGCCACATGGAGAGGGGTAAATCCTTTCTGAGGAGAAACAGGGGCTGTCAGGGATCCAAATCTGCTGTGCCCGTTGCTCCTCTGGCATCTCCAAGCCAGGGAAGGGGGCCTCCTGTGACAGAGCCTGTCTCAGAGGACAGCTCTGGCCCCCGTGGTCCTGCGGCCTCGCCCACCACTTACCATGTGCGCTTCTCTCGCGCAGGGTATGGGACCACCTGCACTGTCACTCGATGCTAGCTAGCTGAGGGCAGGAGTTGAGCCCTAAGCCCTCCTGTGTCCCCAGAGACTTGAAGGAAGGCTGGGCGGGTGGAGGAGGGATGACGGACGACCACCACCAGGTGCTGACCCTCCCAGCTGCCTGCCGCATTACAAAGGTGACAAAGAGGACCAGGTGGGATCCCTTGGAGCTCCAGCCCCTCTGTGACTGCCTGCTGACTCCTGGGAGTGGGAGGAGGAGGGCAGTACCTTGGTCATGCAGGCCTGCGACGCCTCCTTCTCCAGCAGGGCCAGGGCTGTCTCTACGTGGCCCTCTCGGGCTGCAACGTGCAGGGGTGTGTGCCCGGCAGTGGTGGCCAGGTTGGGGCTGGCATTATTTTCCAGTAGGAGCTTCACCATGTGTGTGTGGCCAATGCGAGCCGCACAGTGAAGTGGGGTTTGGTCATCCTGGACCCCAAAGTGAAAACAAAGAACAGGAAACGCTGGAGTTACCAAATCCAACTCTTTGTGTTACAAAGAAGGCAGGTGAGGCCCAGAGAGGGTAAGCGACCTTCTCAAGGTCACACAGCTAATAAGATGAAGAACTGGGATGTGAATCAAGTCTTGGGAGTTACAGAAACCAATATGCTCTATCTTACAAGAGCCCTTCAAGTTAGTCATTGTCTCTACTTAACTGCCCAAAGGCTCAGGCCTCCCATCTGTGAAATGGGAATAATATCTACCTCACAGGACTAGGGACAGGATTAAACAGACAATGTACACAAAATGTTTCACACGGTGTTTGGCACAAAATAAGCATTCCATAAACATGGTTGCCGATACTGTCCCCGAGTCCTTTCTGGGTGGATACGCTTGTCTTTCTGTTTGAACTCTACTTTGGTTTCCTCTATGCTAGGGGCCATGGGACAGTCTAAACCGTCCCGCCCCTGTCCCATGTCCTGTTTATGGCTGACGCTGCTGGGGCTCCACAGATGGGGTCTCTGCATCACTGGAGGCATCCCCTGCGATGTGTCTGTGTGGCCCAAACACAAGTCACAGCCCTGACTCTCAGGGGAGCCTTCTCCCACCTGACCGTGGCCACAGCTGACCAACTTGCAACGTCAGTGGCTGGGCTTACTGCTCCCTCACCCAGCCCCTCAAAAGCACACTTGCAGAGAGGGGCCTCCGTGTTTAGATCAAGTCCTGGCTGACTCTTACGGGCCATGCTGTCTTCACAAGGTTGCTCCCGCCCCGCACCACAACCGCAGTGACGGCCGGTGAGTACTCAGGCCACCCTGCCCCCGGACTCTCACCAGTGTCAGGAAACACGGCCCTGACAAAAGCACCTCTGGCCTTCTCACACCCCACCATGCAGAACCCGAGTGTCCAGCGCAGCCTAATCAGGAGTGGTGAGTGGTCTCTGCACAGGAGCACTGCAGCCTCTAACGAGGGTGGTTCCTCCTTATTGTGTCTGAATCACTCACCTCCCAGGACCCTCCCTCCTGCCTCCAGAACTCACCTTGGCCTTGGCATTGACTTTGGCTTTGTTCTGGAGTAAATATTTGGCCACCTCTGTGTGCCCTGCTCTGGCTGCCATGTGTAGCGGAGTCTCCACTTTCTGTAAAATAACAAAATTATGGAACGGTTATACATGCTGGGTTTCCAAAAGGACACATACAGAGCTCCAAAGTGCCAGCCTGGAGTAGCCTGGTGGGTTGTTTATCCAAGAGGCGGAGCTGCCCCAGCAAGCAGCTCTCAGCCTGGGGTGTGTGTCTAACACTTACAGAGGCTCCAAAATTATTGTCCAAAATAACCCCCCCAAGATTCACAGATGTATGACAAGTTTAACGGGGAAAGCATCAGTGTACAGGACATTCTCCCCAAGTCAGAGGCCTTCACTATTCTGCAGATTTACCTTCCCCCCAGAGAGCCCTTGGAGCCCGTGGCCCAGGCTTACCACGTTGGAGACGTTGGGCGATGCCCCCCGCTGCAGGAGGTTCTTCACAATGGGGAGGTGCCCCATGAAGGCGGCCACATGCAGAGGCGTCAGGCCAGACTGGAACAGACAAGGACGAGTGAGGCAGAAGAGGACAGCACCAGACCCTATCTGATGTTTTCTGCCCCTAGCGCTCCCTGATGGTTTTCCAAGAAAAGGGGGTGCACTGACGTGGGTTTGCTGCCAGGGAATGGCTGGAGGAAAAAAATCACTGCAGCAAGTTCTGCCCATATTTACAACTCACTAAGACCATGTCTGATACTGGAAAGTTCCCTGAGACCTGACAGGTGCTCCCCCTGGTCTCAGTCTCCCTGGGTCCCTCCTTCCAGTACTCCAGACTTGCAGCTACACGTGGCCACCAAGAACAACTCAGAGAAGGCAACCGGGGGAAGACCCCAGGCGAGGCGCAGGTGAAGCCATGGCTCTTCTCCTACCTCGGTGACTGCGTCGATGGAGGCTCCCGTCTTCAGCAGCAGCTCCATGACACGGATGTGGTTCTTCTTGCAGGCGATGTGCAGGGGGGTAAAGCCATTCTGCAGCCCGCCACAAAGGGAGACAGACAAGCGGGAGCTCACACTAGCCCAAAGGCACACGCAGAAGACCACCAGGCTGTCCTAGCAGGCAGCCCCTGCCCCAGCCCATCAACGGATTCCCACAGACCAATTAGTGAATCAATGTCAATGGATCAATCTTGTTAATGTCACTTAATGCGAATCACATAAGAAATAGGTGGCTCTCACTCTGTTGCTGAACGTGTTGTTTAAACCATTTTTTAAAAAATTGATTATATTTTTGGATGTTTAGCCTACTGTTTAAAGATCTCTGCAGGGTAAATTTACAGTAAAGAGTACTTTTGTGAAGCAAATCATGTTCCCTCTTCTCTGCAACCACTGATCATTTTTAGTGAAATGAATTTCTGCTCTAAAGTGTGATATACTAAAGTGTAAACTCCACAGGACAGGAATTTTTATTTTGTCTGTTGCTTTTTCAGTGTTTTATCTCCTAGGTAGTAGTTCTCAGACAAAGAGGGCTGGGGGAATTTTTTGCCCCCTGCCCCCACCACCAACACACATGGCAATGTCTGGAAGTGGTTTTTTTTTGGTTCTGACCGGTAAAGGGATTGCAACCCTTGGCATGGTGTGGTCTGCACCACACACAGCCAGTGAGCGCACCGGCCATCCCTATATAGGATCCGAACCCACGGCCTCGGTGCTCCCAGCACCGCACTCTGCCGAGTGAGCCACGGGGACGGCCCCCTGGAAGTGTTTTTGATCATCACAACTAGGGCAGGAGAGCTATGAGCACCTAGTGGGTGGAGGCCAGGAATGATGCTGAACACTCTACGATGCACTGAACGACAAACATCCACCCCAATTGTCAACAGTCCCAAGGTTAAGAAGCCCCAGCTACCCTAGAATGGTGTGCGGCATGTGGTCGGCACTTAAAGCAAGCTGCCCCCAGTTCTTCTCTGGGAATGGGCCGGGGGAGACACTGGGCACAGGGGGGCTCTGTGCAAAGCTACGCCTGATGCCTGGGCCACACTGGGGGCCCAGCCTAGAGAAGAGGGGAGGACCCAAGGCCCCAGGAGTGTGCTCTATGCCTTCACTTGTCTCTGCTGAAGCACCATGAAAACTGCAAGCCCATCTGCAGAGGAAGTGCTTGGCTCAGCCACTCACTAGACTACCCCTGACCTCGGACTGCTAGCGGGGCTGCAGTCACCGGATATCTCAGGTGACACCCACTGGATGTGGAGTGGGGAGTGAGGGACAAGCATATGCTACGTCCCTAGCCTGTGCGCACATTGCTGCCTCCTGGGCCCTGCAGGCCTGTGTGGCGAGCCCCTGAAGTGCAGGAGGGGCTCCGGCACCTGCTGCTGCCCTGCCTCCGAGGCGCAGCCTGTGGCTCTGCCCCGCCTCCTGCCTCTTGCCCCACTGGCAACTTCTCCAGTGGCCTCCCACTCACCAGGGCTCTGGAGTTTGGTTTGGCCCCTTTGTCCAAAAGGACCTTGGCCACCCTGTGGTGGCCACAGTGGGCTGCCACGTGCAGCGGGGTCAGGTGGTCCAGGGTGATGTCGTCTATCTCGGCGTTGTATTGCAATAGAAGCCGGACACAGTCAAGGTGGTCTCCCTGAGCCGCCATGTGAATTGGGGACAAGCCATTCTGGGTGAAGAGATGGAAACAAGTGGTCACAAAGCCTTCCGGGGAAGAACACAGAAGTCCCCACATGATGCTTCCACGTGGCTCCTGAGTGAGCTTGGTTCATTCTGGCCCCCAGGCTCTCGTGGGTCTCTGCCCACAGCCACTCTCCTTTCCTTCTAGCTGAATCCTCAGAGCCTCCTAGCCAGGCCTCCTCTTCCATGAAGCCTTCCCTGACCAGCCTAGACTCCTGTGGGCTTTCCTTCCCCGCACCACTCACTCGGACCTTCTTACATGTGCTGAATTACATTCATGGTGAACTTCTCAGTGTGTGTTATCTTTTCTCCTAATTTATAAGCTTAAGAGCAGACTGTGCCGATATTTCTTAAATGCCCCTCAATGCCCAGTACGTGCACATAGTGGTCTTTACATGAGGTGGTTCTGAGTGAATGGATGATGATAAAATAGAACCTGCATCTAAATCCCTCTATTCTTTGCCTGTAACAAACAAACTTCAGTTAAAAAAACCTGTTAAGAATTCTCATTGTTTATCAGACAGCAATTTATTTAAAAAAACATTAAAGGTAGAGGAGAATCACTCATTCATTCAGACATTAATTCAACAAATATTTACTAAGTGATTACTGTGCACCTGGTATGGGTTAAGCTCTGGGGAAACAGAAGAGAACAGACATAACCCCTGCCTAAGGGAGCTTGTAGGAGGACGCACTGCTGCCATCCATGGGGAGGGCAGGGCAGGGGGCTTCCTGGAGGAGGTGATCCCTGAGCTAGGACTTGAAAGGAGGTGAAGGAAGTTCACCAGGAAGACCAAATGGAAGAACATCCCAGTGAAGGGAGCGGTGCGGAGGAATTCAGGACTTCCATGCAGTTAAAGTGCGACGGGGAGTGCAGCTGGGCTGAGAGGCAGGCGCTGAGCCTTGGCTTTCAGGAAGCCATGACCATCCTCAAGGGAGAAGCAGGATCAGGGTGCAAGAGCTAACATTAGTGTTACGGGTTGAAGGGTGTCACCTCAACATCCACATGCTGAAGTCCCAACCCAGGACCTCAGAATGTGACCTTCTTTGAAAACAGGATCTTTGCAGATGTAATTAGCTAAGACAAGGCAGTGGTGTGGATCCTGATCTAGTAGGACTGGTTTGGACACAGCACAGAGGGAAAACGCCATGGGAACATGAAGGCAGAGATCCGGGTGATGTTTCTACAAGCCAAGGGATGCCTAGGACTGCCAGCAACCCCAGACGCCAGGGGGCCTAGAGCAGAGGCTGCCTCCTAGTCCTCAGGACAATCTGACTCTGTTGACACGCTGACCTTGGCCTCCCTGTTCCCTGAGCTGTGAGACGAATCTCTGTTGTTTAACAACCCCCACTCCCCAAGTCTGTGGTGCTTTATTATGACAGCCCAAGCAGACTAATAGAGTTAAATACACTTACTGCATTTTAGAAAGGTCTTACTATAGTTCCCAATTAAAAAGTCAGAAGTTCTCAGTAAACAATTTTCATCAACACCTGTTTTAGCCCCACTCTAATAATCCGGATAATATAAAATCTTTAATAACTTATGAACATTTATATAAGTTTAAATACAGGGCTTCTGTGAAAAACTGTTGAGATTCTCCTGACCTGGTAATATAATTGGTAGTAGCAATTCTACTTTTATTTATCTGAAGATTTTTACTTTTACAGGTACTTTCAAAGACATTATCTCATGCGATCACTCCAGGAATCCTAAGAGAGAGGGGTGGAGCTCTCCACACGGGAAACTGAAGCACAGAGAAAGAGACATGCTCAAAATCACAGCAAAGCAGCCGTGGAAGGAGGGTTAACTGAGAGAGAAACTGGTTTCATAGAGGAGGATATCTTCACCCAAGGGGGGGGGGGGAGAGACACACACACACACACACACACACACACACACACACACACACACACACACACACACACGGGCCAGCTTGGGTACTATGAATCACAACCCCAATTAAAGATGACTCTGCGGAACACTCACACTATAACTTGTCAGGGAATAAACTGGCTTTCATAGCTGTAGACTATTCTGCAATTTTAGAACAGAGAACTGCTCACAGAAAACCTCCTGAGTGGCCCAAAGGACGGGGCAGAGGGCCCAGAGGGGTACAGGCAGCTCTGTGTGGTCAACCGCGCTAGCCCCAGGAGACTGGAGTCCTCAAGTCAGAATTGGGGTGGGCCTCTGCTCCAGCCTCTGAGAGAGCCTGAGGACTATTTTGTTTTCCTTCTAACTTCTCTCAAGTCTGGCCCAGGCTGTGATGGCTTCTTAGAGTACTGGGTTCCTGTCTTCTGCAGCTAGGATGAAAGAGGCAGGGACTGATCTAGAACGCTAATTGGGCCTGTGGGCCCAATCTGGCCTGTTGCCTTTGTTTGTCAATCAAGTTCTATTGAAAGACGGCTGCATATATTTGCATATTGCTCATGGCTGCTTTCCCCCTCCACTGGCAGAGTTTAATCATTGCCACAGAGACCACAGCCTGCGGAGCCTAAAAATATTTAATACCTTGTCCTTTAGATAAGAAGTTTGCTGACCCCAATCTAGATAATTAAAGCTCCACCAAGGGCCTCCTATACGACAGGCACTGTAGTATAAGTCACACCCTGTCTCATTAGTAGTATTAGCATCTCTATTTTCTAGAAATGGGATTTCATCCCAGGTTTCTGACCTGGAGCCCTGCCTAAAAGATGCTCCTCCCAAGAGGCACGCACCTTGGTTTTGGCTTGGATGGGTGCCCCGTGGTCCAGCAGGATCTCTGAGATTCGCACGTGCCCATTCCGAGCTGCACAGTGGAGAGGTGTCAATTCGTCCTTTGAAAGACAGAGTCAAAAACAGGAAGCCCAAAAGACACTTGTGAGAGGCTGCCTGCCTGCAGCAGCACCCCAGCCACAGATGTGCTGACGCCTCAGGACAAGCTGGACGTCAGTACAGTCCTATTGCCATCTCTGCTGCATCCCGGCTACTGCCGCAGGTGCTCTGGGAGGCCGGTGGCACATCACTAACTGCGTTGCCAGGAGCCCCCACTGCAGGTGAGCCTCCTGGGGGCAGAGCTCCCTGCCCTGGACTGGCCATGGCATTTGCCAGCACCCACCTTGGTCCTCGTCTCTATCTGGGCCCCCCGGTCCAGCAGGAGCCGCACCATGATCACGTTGCCCCTGCGGGAGGCGATGTGCAGTGGCGTGATGCCATTCTGGAGGGGAGGAAGCATGGAGCAGTCAGGGTGGCCTTCCTGCACTCTCCATGGCATCAGTGCACCATCCCCAGGCCTCCACCCCACCCCAACCCAGTGGCAGTGCAGCCCAGCAGCCACTTTGAGCCCACAATGTGGCAGTCCTCGCCTGAGAAAGATTTCAAAAAACCTGCAAGGACCTGGTGGCAAGGTGCTTCACCCCACCTAGCTGGCCAAACCCAGGTCTCCCAGAGTCCACGGAGCAGAGGGAAGAGGGCCAGGTATATGAAAACCATCCCCTGCCCTCCAGGTTTCCCCCCTCTAAAATGGGCATATGTAGGGCCGGCCCGTGGCTCACTCGGGAGAGCATGGTGCTGACAACACCAAGTCAAGGGTTATGATCCTCTTATTGGTCATCTTTAAAAAAAAAAATGAAATAAAATGGGCAAATGTAGTTCAGTTTTCTCAAAACAAGGCAGGTGGAGACTGAGGGCTGGTGACTGGAAACCTGCCAGCAAGGAGCCCCAGCAGACACAGGGCTGCTTTGCCCACAGGCAGTCTGTCGTGTGGGTGGAACCCGCGGCACTAAGGTGAGGGGTGAGAGCCTGGACCCTGTGGTTACCTGCGGTGTGAAGTTGACACTCGCCCCCCTGTTGAGGAGCAGCTGGGCCACGTTGAGGTTCTCGTAGTGAGCTGCGATGTGGAGAGGGGTGAATCCCGTCTGGGGCACAACAGAGGTGAGAGAACTCATCACACGTGACCTACTAACATTTCTCTCTCAGAACCAGCCCAGGGGTTCTGAAAAAGCCTGCGGGCCAGAGGACCCTATGCACAGAGGAGATTGTGCTGGATTTCTGTGGCACGTCAGGTTCAAGAGCCTGAAAGCACCCCGATGGCTCATGTGGACAAACACAGACCAGGACCCCTCTAACCCCACAGACCAGTTCACTGGACAGTTACCCACAAAGATACACTAACTAACGAAGTGTCAGGGCTCAGATCTCAATGCTCAGGTGGGTCACGCCCTGCAGCAGAGGCAGGCCTCTGACCCTTGGCGGGCCACTGTCATCACTCTGTTCCATAACTCAGACCACGCCTCGCTCCAGCCAGACTTTCTGGGCAAAACTCAGTGGCTGTGGGGCGTGGGAGTGTGGGGGGGCTATGTGAATAACCCTGTGAAATCTGTTCTCACGGAAGGGGAAGAGCCCACACATTCAGACAGTGGATCGGCAGAGCCTGAAAACCTCCTGCAGCATGCCCAGGTGACGGGCCATCCGGCCTCTGGGGAACCCAGTCTCCACATTCCAGCCTCACCACGCATGGGGACACCTCCTCTCTCCACTGGGGCACCCAGGGGAAGATGGGCTGAAAGTTCAGAGCATTACCTCCAGATTCCAGAGTTTACTCTGGACGGAGAACCACCCACCCTGCCTGGACACTTTTCCGGGTGACCTGGAGCACAAGGCCCCTCCCCTGCTCCACACCAAGAATGCTTTTCCCAGCGTTCAGCAGGGATGTAGGGAGGCTGTCCACTGTGGCTCTGTGCAGAAACTGCTGGACTCAATGGTGCCTCTGCAGCCCGTCAGCCACCAGGGTCCCGGCCAGATCACTCCTGGGCCCTGTCAGGCTGCCCTCACCTTGGAAAGTACGTCTGGGTTGGGGTCATTCTGCAGAAGCACGGCGGCTGTCCGGGTGTCGTCATTGCGAGCCGCAATGTGCAGCGCTGGGAGGCGCACCTTGCCTTTCGTCCCGTAGTTGATGAGGTGGGCCACCACATTCTCATGGCCCTGCTGCAGAGCCACGGCCAGAGGGGTGAAGCCATCCTGGCCAGAGGGGAGGGGACAGGGGTTTGCTCCAACTCTCTCTGACCACTTGCTGTCCTCAGGACAGGACATGCACCCTCATGCCTCGGGGCTCCTATGCATGACAGTCCCCAGCCTGAAATGACCTTCCTCCAGTCCTCTGCTCTTCAAAGTCCTTGTGTCCTCCAAGATCAGCTTAAATGCCACATCCTCCTCGAAGCCTTTCCTGACCCCACTTCCTTCTCTGCCCCCCCACAGAGCCTGTGGTGATTTTTCTTCAGCACTTACTTAGTTTTCCTTTACAATTTGACTTACAAGTCTCTGTGCTCTGAGAAACTTCTCAGTGCTCTTCGATTCTTTGCCTTCCCGCCTCCACCCCATCTACTGCTGTCAGGGCAGTGCCTGGAAGATGGCAGAATATTACTGAACACCCAGCATGCTAGAAACCAAGCTAGGCCGATATGTGACCAGGAGCCACTGTGATGAGTCTCCTCAGTCATGTGCTGAGAGGCACGGGACCCCATGCCCACAGCAATAACCAAGTCCTGTCATCATGTCACCCATATCAAAACTCAGGATCAGAGCTAATGGGACTTGCCCAAGGGTACAGAGTGGGTTCATGGCAAGAGCCTTTCTCATTGTGGCCCAAGGCAGACCTGTCAACCACCCCCCATCCAGCCTTAAGTGCTGGTTACAGGGGTGACACTGCTGGGTCTGATGTCACTTCTTTGGTGTGTGTCTGAGCGCTCCTCAGGACCTATGACTTTGTCTCTTATGCCCTCGCAGAGTCCCCAGCAGCCAGGACGAGTGCAGTGTGTGAAGGAGCACTCAGCAGGCTGCAGCGGAGGCTTCCTGGGTGCATCCTCCTGGGCACTTACCTCTGTGGCCACATTCTGATTCGCTCCATTTTCCAGTAAGAACTTCACCACTTCCAAGTGATTCTCTTGTGCTGCCATGTACAGGGGTGTAAAGCCTTTCTGTAAATCAAGAGAGGGAGCTGTTGAATCCACCCACAATGGGGATAGAGACGCTAAAACCAGTGCAAAATCTCAACGGCTCTCTCTTCATCCCATTTCGACCGAGCCCCCTGGCAACAGCCCACCTGTGAACACTCACTGTCACTTTGAACTGGCATGTCAGGAATACTGCAAAAGGCCACAGGGTGGGGACGGCTCTCCCCATTGGTCAGCCTCTTTGGCTCTGCCACTCCCGCTCTATTTTACTGCCTTCTTCATCAGCCCCCCAGGCCTGCAGCCCCCATAACTGACTATATTATTTGCAGGTTTACTGAACAGAGATGGTGCATGCTGAGAATGTGTACCTAAGCACATGAGCATGGGGAGGGCGCCTTCATCCTGCTGGGAGATGTGACACCAGGAAATCCAGGCCCAGCCATGGCGTGTCCAGGGCAAAGCAGGAAAGAGCGCCGGGGAAGAAAGGCCGCGCCGAGGCCCGAGGGCCCTTACCTGTGACTGCGCGTTGACGTTGGCGCCATAGTGCACCAGCTCGCGGACCACCTCGTCCTGGCCGGCCAGGGCGGCGATGTGCAGCGCTGTGTTCCCTTTCTGAAACACACGGGGCAGGGAGGTTTCACCCAGGCCTGCGGGAGTGACCCGCCAGGGCAGGGAAGGAGGGGCCTGGCTGGGGGCCCGCAGCCTTCTTTATGGCCCAAAGGGGTAGAAAACGTGTGTGCCTGACCTGTCACACAGGTTGAAACAGTGTTGAAAACACAAAGAGGAAAACTCCTCCAGTTTCTGTGAAAAATGATGCTGAATGAAACACACAAAGGCACATGCACGACTTGTCAACGCTAACTGCGGCCTGCCAGCTCTGTGTCCTGTCATGGCCAACAGGGCTGGCGTCAACCCATGACCCCACAGGACAGCCGGAGCCCACAGCAAGGCCAGCAGCATTGGGGAATGTGGCCAGCGGACGCCCAGGCTTGACTCCCTGCATGCTGTCCCAGGGACCCCCACAGGTGACAGAGGGCGCGAGTACAGTGTCCCTAGAAAAGCAAAGGGGAGGATGGATGTTTATGACACATGTGGGGAAGAGAACAAAAATATGCAAATAAATGCAGGGAAATAGAGAGAATAAAGTCTGGCAAAGGAAAATGCAAAGAAAGAAAATTCTAAATATTAAAAAGTAAAACATAATGAGCAGGTTTTCACTAAATAAGAGAGGCAAGAAAAGCCAGAGGGAATAAACAGCAGAGAAAACGAGGCACACAGTGGTGAGACTCTTTGAAGGTGAGGACCAGGAACTGAGACAGGAAGCAGGGCAGGTTCCCAGAGCGCGAGTTCTACGTGCAGCTTTCTTGTCTGGATTCCTCCTGCATGTTTAATGACAATTCACAGATGGGGTTCTAGGTTGGCAGCCTTCGTCTGCGTCCAGGACACTGACGTCCCCAGCTGGCTGTCTCTCCTGCCAGGTTCCTCGTCCTCTGGGAGTCCCAGCCCCAATGCCAGCACTGCCTCCAAGGGGGGACCCCACTTAGAGAGAGTCGGGGGCAGACTCCCCTCGACACTTCTGCCACACAGGGTGGGTGGAGAGAGTAGGGCCACAGCTGTGCCCTCAGTCTCTGTGTCACTGAAGAAGCAGGGATCTCAAATGACCTCAGTTTTCATAGTTCAGACAGGATATGGTTTTTTACTAAACTACATAAACACTTAATCCACCTCAGGAGACTTAAGAACTGAAAAACTCAGTCCTTACCCTGTGGCCATCTGACACTGAGGCGGAACTGCGCAGGGGGCACCAAGCTCTACAGCCTCCCAGCCCTGCACCCTGTGTGTTGCTGGGGGACAAGGCAGCCCCTCTGGGCACCCTGTGGGCTGGAAGGAGCTCGGGTCTTTGTTTCTCGGACTTTGTTGGGTGCCTCAAATGCCAAAGCCCGTATCAGGCAGGAGTTTCCTGTCTGCTGCCTCCTGAGGCTGTCTTTTTGACCTCTCCCTTAGTCCTATTTGATAAACATGAGGGTTCTTCCTCAGATACCCATCAGAGGGTAAATGCCAAAATGAATGTACAGATGCTAATTAGTAATTTTTCATGGAAATCTAAAGAGCCTACGTTAGAGCCTTTGGCATTTGGCTCCAATTCACTTGCTGTACGAAGTGGAGCAGTACTGCTGGCACCAGAAACTTCTCTAGAATCCAGGATTCAGCTCCTAGTGGAGTTCCCGGTCTCCCATGTGAAGCAGGAGGCATTCTGTGTCCGTCCAATCACCGGTTGCACTTACTGAGCACTTGTGTGTCAGGCCTGGGCTAGGCACAGAGGTACAGAGGCAGCTGAGACTCAGGTCCCTTGCCCTCAAGGAGGCTTATGTGGAGTGTTTCTTCCCATGTGACTCTGCCTGAGATCAACCGACACAGGAGCCTTCTTTATCCATGGGAGGAGGGGAAGGCCCCTCCACTTGGGGAGCTGGTCAGATGTGGGACCCTGGCTGTGGATCTTGGTTTGTGCCACTGGGCTGAGGGAAGCAGTGGGAGGAATAAGTGCAAGGGAAGAGACTGGAATGGACCCCTGCCCCTGCACACACACACACACATATGCACACACACACAGTCGCAAGGCTCAGGAGGAAGGCCCTGGGTGGGGGAGTTGCACGCAGAGGGGCTATGAGCCTCTGTTTTCTCTGCCTCTCCCTCAGCATGAAGAAACATGCCTTGAAGGAGCAGGAAAAACTACTTAGCTATATTTCCATCCACAAATACCCAATTTCTCCATTTCCAGGAACTCACAGAGCTCACAGAAGGGAGGACGCTGCACAGGTGCGAGTGGAGAGGGGTGGGGGACCCCAAGTGAGGGAGAAGGCTTTTCTTGGATGGGGATGAAAGCTTTCTCTGGGCATTAACAGCTTAGGTGCTGAGCTCTGGCCTCTAAGGAGTGGGGATGGGAGGATGGGGGACAGAATGCATTTGTTTTATGCTACTAAAATTTCTAAGCAGTTTGGGAACCTATATTGGTTTGGGCTTTTTACTTTTTAAAAGACTTTTTCATGCTTGGGGACCCATTACAACTCCCCAGTCTGTTGTGACTGACTGTTCCTTGGCTCATGGTTTCAGTTTCACCTTTTTTTTCCCCTCCCTGTTTATGGCATTCTGAAACCACACTGGATGATAAAAATGTATAAATAAAGAAGACACACCAAGTGCTCACTTGCAAAATAGCAATCAAAAAGGGAAATTCGGAAGGAGAAAAATGCTGAAGCACTATGTCTTTGCAGCCCGGAGGGGTGTGGGCGAGTGCCGGTGGGAGCAGCCGCTCTGGCCACAGGGAGCTGTCAGAGGCTCGCTGCCTGCAGCCAGCTATGTGAGGGCCTGAGACGGAACCAACTGCATCCCCCATCCATAGGAGGGGCAGACGGGGACAACTAGTGTTGGCCATAGAGTTAGGAAAAATGCCCCATATCCAGTCCGAAAGAGCAACTCAGCTTACTTCACCAGTGAGTGCATCTTTTCATATTCAGGAAACGACATGAAAATTACAGAATTCATCCCAAGAGATGATTCCACCTTCATAACATTGTGGTAGTTCACTTCGCAACCATAAATTGTACCCGTTCTCTACACGTTGTTCTCCTGTGCTCTCTGCTTGAGCGGCGGCAGAATGTTTGCTGCGTGGAAATGAAATTGGGGCTGTGTGTGAGGCCATACTCAACCAATAACAAATGGAAAATGTGAGGATGGGGGAGACTCAAGGAGAAAAACACAGCAAAGTAACAAAGGGGAGAAGAAATTCATCTGAGAAAAGGAGAATCAAGGAAGCAGTACTTGAGTTAGCAAATGGAGATGATTTTCTGTTTAGTTTTGTGTCTAACTGCTGAGTGCATCCTGTTTAACAAATAAGATGCATGCATGTAAGAGATGAAGCTTCCTTTGCAATCTTTGGATGTGTCAATTTCATGTGCACTTAAGTCACTGGTGTTTATAATCTACTGATATGGGCAGAGACACATTGCTGTGAGTAGTGTATGCCAGATGCCTCCTCTTAAAGAAAATGCTGCTCTAGGAAATTAGTAAAAAGAAGAAATAAGTTTAGGGCGGAACAAGGAAGACCTGCTGGAGAAGGAGAAATCAGACTATCTTCTTCGGCCCTCCATAACAACCTGGTCACTAGTGCTTACTGGTTCATACGTGCCAGACACTTTATATACATTATCTCACTTAATTTTCATATTGGTCTTGCAACCAAGTGCTATAATCCCATTTGCGGATGAGGAGACTGAGGCCTGACAGTGGCTGAGTAACTTGCCCGAGGTCCCAGAGCGTGGGCTACGTCAGCCAGGATCTGAACCCAGGCTGTGCTTGCTGTGCTCCCAGCCCAGGAGAAAATATGAAGCCACCAGAAAACAAGTTGCTGGTGTTGTTGAGATGTATAATCTAGTGGTGAGAATAAAATAAAGGCTCACTGATTCTTTCTGGAAATAGGGTCCCGTGCTGCCAGGTGCTTCAGGGATTCAGAGAACTAGAAGTGATTGGAAGGTAAGAGAAATTCAGAAACACGCCTGGGTTTCTAAGCCAGGGTTTGGGACAGTACATGAGGGACCCACAAACTTGAATTGTCAGCGAAAAGCTCCCCCACTCCCTATGAGACATACCTTGGTTGTCGTTTCTAGAATGATCTCTTTGTGCAGAAGTTCAACCACCATTTTGACATGGCCTTCTTTAGAGGCCAGGTGCAAGCCGTTCAGCCCATTCTGGAAAGAGCAGAGCAGGGAGGGCTGGTTAGCTGGACTGAGCATTCTGCTGTCGCAAGTGGCTGCAGTGAGGCCCCTGCCCAGCCGCGAGATGTGGAGAGCAGCAAGGAACGATGGGGGGCCCTAAGTGGCCAGAACAGGCACAAAGCAGATCCAGCGCAGCCCCCTCAGCACCTCCTGTGTGGCAGCATCAGGGGACAGAGAGCAGGGAAGGAGGAAAGGGGGACGGCAAGACCAGCCCTCCCTGGACAAGCTCACACACAACCCAGGGGGCCCTTGCACTTCAGAGGTTGGCCAGGCTTCAGGCATCCCACTTAAGTGAAATGAATGGTACAGCCTCAATTCCCTGACTAATGATTTTCACAGCAGCAACCAGGAAAAGCAAAGAGGTAACCCTGGTGCATCCTAAGCATTTGTAAAGACAGACATGTATTTAATAAGATGATAAATGCTGAAATAAGGTCATATGAGCATTAAATACCCTCAACAACACCCAGCTATAAGATTTCCTCAATAGAAAAATCAGTATCAAAATAGTGCCCTTGCCATCCTGCCATTTCATGTATGACCAAAGAAGCCTGCCTGACAAAGTTTTAGGAAAAACAAAAGAAAACAAAACACCGTTGCCAGGCCCAACCATCAACCCACCAAAGCAGAACTGACTCATTGAAGCTCCAGTCAAATCTGCTGAAGCCACTGCTGTGTCCTTAGAGCATGGCCAGTTTGAGTTCTGGACACCACTCTCACGCTGCCTGGCCCTCCAGTCCTTGCGCCTGAAGGTCAGGAAACTTTGTGGCAAAAGCTGACATCACAGAGCCACCAATAATTCCAA